GGGGGGCTTACTGTGTCAGCAGAAAAGTTATAGGGGAAGAAGAGCAGAGGGAGGCCAAGAAAGATGATGTTGGACACTGGCTGGGAAAAACATCTGTTTTAGAACTGGTTACGAGCAGACGAAGCAGAAGGCTGTGGACAGACATGTGACGGTATGTACTATAAATAGCTCCACGATCGTAATCTCGTAATATTCCCGTACAGTGGTTGCTGCAGTGGAATTAGCCGTCATGAGAATTGGTAAACTAAACCCTTTTTTTACGCCGTTGGCGCACGATATGCCCATTGGAAAACCATTGTGCTGGGGCCCCTGAGACAACCACTGACAGCAATGAAATAGTTGTTTATGGCAAACCACTTGAAACACACACAGATTAACATGGGTCTCCTTTGCTCCTGGGGCCCGGGCCCATGCGTTAAGACGGCACTGCATCGGGTATATGATGCCGATACCCCGTATTTTCATGGACTAATCAGCACTCGAAGAGCTAACAGTGATGTCCCTCAACAGGTTCTGATAGCACTATGAAGTTTCTATTAAAGTAGAGCCAACCGCGATGTTCCCGAAAAGGTGCTGGTGCTGCGCACTATTGCATACTGTCAGAAAAAGCTTAGTTTTACCACACAAAGACTGGGCTAAAGTTTAGTCGATAGTAACTGCACATAATGCAGCTGACACACAACTAATGTGTGGCGACAGTTGGATAGCGCTATCTCAGCGTGTAGCGACCGACGAGACTTCACAAGACTAGTTATGCGTGGATTTATCATGAACTCATTTTCCCAGCGGTAAAAAAAAACACCATATACTCGTATATGGTTTAGTAATCTCGTGTACGTTTGTTACAGAACAAAGGTGCTTGACTCAGTTCCATCTCGAATAGCAGGACCATTCAACTGTCCGCCTAGGGGCTGAGACCGCCCTCCCCCAATTTTTTTTTTATTTTTAGGCTCACGAGCCATGCGCCCCTAGGTTTTCGGCAACTATGGACGCGGGTGAGCCCGTTAGTTGCATTAAACCACCTTTTTCGCTAATGCTATGTGAACTTCTTTAGACTTGAACATTTTTGGTTTAAGGATAGCGGCTACATAGAATAAAATAAGCTAAAGCAACATTGTCCGGGACTGAAATTTTTTTATACGTATCTAGGGCAGCAACACGGTGCCGGTACTCATCAACAGAAGCGCCGAAAAGAAAATGATGCCTACAACGTGCCATTACTGCCTACTATTGTGTACTGCTGCAAAATTGGTCGTTAGTGATTTAAACTTGTGATAAGCTAGCAGAAACTGCTCGCCGAACTAAGGGTTTGCTTTGAAACAATACATAGGTCTATTGTAAAATCATGGCGCACTCCTTTCAAAACTGGTCAGAAATGTCTCACAAGGTCCACAGTATAAACTTAGCTTGGATGATGAAGTTGAAGCTCCAGATCCAAAACGACTGGTATGCTTTAGCTTTTCCAAATTTCGGCTCTCCTTTGAATCATTCCCCAAAATGGCGGCTAAACTAGGTGTCTGGGACTCACGAGTACAGTAATTGGAGGAAGTTGCAGGAGATGCTGTAGCTGCGGCTCGTGAGTCCCAGCCATCTAGATTAGCCCCCATTAGCGGCGCGGGGGATACGCTCGGCGGTGAGGCACACTCGCAGAAGCAGGTCGGCAAGCACCGTATCGCTGAGACCTTGTCAGAGCATTTGTTTCGTTATCCGGAGCCGGCACATATATTTTTAATAGAACTGACCCGCATTAGGATATTTTTGGAATTTTTATGGCCAGAAATTGGCCAATTTAGCTCTCTTTCGAACGCCATCATATTAAAGCCGCCATTTTGGGGAACGATTCAAAGGAGAGCCCAAATTTCTTATAATACAGCCAGGGAGCTGATAAGTTGAACAGCATTTTTGTACTAATCAGGCCAAATTTTATTGCCAAGAAAGCATTTAAGAGGCCAAGTTTCATCCTATTTAGATTTGATATTATTCATAGCACTGAAAACTGTTTTTACGTCAGCATTTGAATGGGGTAGTATCATACCAGACACGGCACATACAAAGAGCTTACAGCAGCATCTTTTGTCTCACGTCACTCCAAAACGCTTCAGTTTCTGTTTTGTTTGTCCAGTCAACCAAGTTTATTTTTATTACTGATATTCTGCTTCCGCCACAATATTATCAGTAGCCCCTAAATGACATATTTTTCAATACATCTAGATTTTCAGGAAGTCTTTGCGTCAGTTGCTTGAATAATGAGACAAGGAAATCTTGACGGTGCTCTCTTAAGTTGTTCTCTTCATTTCCTGTTGACAGTTCTTTTGTTTTTAAATCATCAATTTTCTATTCGATTTGATATCCGAGGTATGTCTTAGGAGCCAAATAGCTTTCTATAGTGCAAGTGAGCAAATCAGCTTTAGAAGTTAGCAACACCAGTCTTTTACCAGCTGAGTGAAACTGCAAAGTGAGATCCTCTAGTAATTTAATTTATCAGCATGTTCAGATTCAAAATAGTTTATTCACTTTTTTTCACTTTCCATATTTCAGCTGTGTAGCACTACTTTGTCTTGTTATTTCAAAGTGTGTCTTTAAGTTTTTTTCTGTTGCTGTAATATGTAACACGCATACCAAGCACTTTCAGTACAGAAATGTCATTCGATTTGTCTAATAATAAACTATATTTATTTGTAGAAATATCACTGATCAAATCTTTTTCAAAGTGAGAAAATAGGGTATTTCTTAAAATATGTGTAAACATGCTGCAATGCATTTTTACATCATAAATAACTATACTGTCAGAAATGGTGTTTTTAAACAATTCAATCAATGGTCACAGTTCAAAATTGTTCAAGTGGCAACTTAAGGACACTGCAACAGATCCTTCAACTTTTGATGATTCATTAATCAGTGTGTTCTGAAAACATATGTTAGTGGTGTAATATCTTTTCCTGGAAATGCAGTTTTATGCTTTCAAGTTTCTGCATGATTTTTTAAGTCTTGTATTTTCGCTTTAATTTCACACTTGCAGTACTTAACAATGTGCCTTAGTTGTATCATCTGCCATCACCCACTCTTTAATTATGTCATCATGCAGCCACCCTTTCAGAAGTTTTTGAAGGTGAGCAATTATATTTTTTTTTAAAATCACATGAAAAAAGAACCACAAAGTGAGCAGCACAGCTATAATTCACTATACAGCGAGGATACATTTCGAAGTTAGTATGATTTACACTCACACTTAATCAGTATTGGGGCTGCCAGATTGTTGAGTGTTGACCCCAGTGAATTCAAAGGTTAAGTAATCTCATTTACCACAATGTACGTGCACAGACCAGAACAAAACTATGTGTAATAAATATACAGTAATGATCAAACTGACACTGAAAGAAAAAATCCCTAAAATATCTAACTTCAAATGAAAAACATCTAGAATTACATCTACCATCTAACCGTCAAAAAACACCATCTAGACGCAGGGGAAAACATCTAGATATGGATATCGAACATCCAAAGTGGCAACACTGTTGTATACCCATAAAAGTCTGATTGTGTGTCCATCTTGCCTTGCTTTGCCTCTAAGCCAGTGTTTCTCAACCTCCCTAATGCCACGACCCTTTAATACAGTTCCTCATGTTTTGGTGACCCACCCCCAAACATACAGTTTTGTTCATTGCCACTTCATAACTTCAGTGAATATGTATTTCCCGATGGTCTTAGGCGACCCGCATGAAAGGGTCATTCGACCCCCAAAGGGGTCGTGACGCACAGGTTGAGAACCGCTGCTCTAAGCGTTGCGTGTCGGCCATTTTCTCCTGCCACTCCCCGCTGCATCATTCACCTACACTGTGGTGATCGAATTTAGTGCGCTTCATGTTTTGAAAGAAAGAAGATGTGGCCGCTCTTGAATTGATCACATTAGAGCTGACCGTCGTATTACCGCACGGCCACGCTAGGTAATTGACTAAGGTCCACAAGAAAAGCAGCCGTAAGATAATCTGTGGAAAAGCAAGAATTGAACACTGATATCCCGATCAACCGCCTCAACATTCAGTCTCACAAATGTTTTTGCTGTTGTACGCCTGATTTCAGCAGTACTTTCTTGGGAGGGGCGTTGTTGTAATAGGTCTCTTGTCACGGTTTGGAGCAGTGGGCATAATTTGCTAGACCAGTAATTTTATAAGCCATTGGTTATGTGGCAAACATCACACTGTCACCTTTAGCACATATAATTCATGGTATCCATTTTTTTAAGCTATGCAGACCTAGGTCAGTTATAGAAAATTAATGGGGGTTTGAGCCTAAGATCTTTATGTGAACAACCACTGCTATTGTTGTACCCAAATGTCATAAAGTGTGTCTGCTATGCCAGTTAATGATTTACCAAGTACCATCTTTGTGTTGAATTCATTTTTCAGGGCCTGTTATATTGTTCAAACATTTGCTTGATCTTTTCATGTCTTTTTATTTGTAAAAAATTGATATTTTGAGAAATATATATAAATATAGGTTTATTTTATCCATAACATATATTGTTTACTTTGAATGTATGTGCTAGAAGGTTGCAGGTGAGAGTAATGGCAGCCACAGTCTTACCCAAGTGGTGTGGGTAGAGATGGCACGTGAAAGGTATGGCAGGCATCACCAGTCTGAAAGGGGCGGGATATAAACAAATATTGGAGTAAATAAGGAACTAAGGATGTCATTTGCATCTCACTGAAATGCTAAGGATTTACAATGGTACAAAGTGCTGGCACCTGTTGTATTCATTTTTGTTTCATTGCTACTGTATCAGAAACTTTGTGGTGAGTACTGGCACCTTTGTTAATAGTGTGACATTTTCTAGGGAAAATTATTAATGACTGCTCCGCTTGTGCTGAAGTCGGTTGTTTTGACGAAAGTGTGCAGCATTTACAGCATCTTGAAGAGCACTCACATTTTCATAACAAGACAAGAGGAACTGTCTGTCAACGATTGTGTTACCAAAAGTGTTTATTATGTGTGTTTTTCAGAATGAGGAAACCAGTGACCAGTGCCCTGTCCTTGAGCCGGCTGAGCCAGTGTTCAGTGATGGTAAGTGGTGGGTCATCTGCTCATTTGCCTCTAGAGTCACCTGGTCATTAACCCTTTTGTATTTATTGCTATTGTTACTGAGGAACAGCTGACTGAGTGGGTAGAATGCTGGACACTCTTGTGAGAGACCCAGGTTCAAATCCTCAGTATTCCTCATGTGGGTTTCAGGTGCCAATTTGGATAAACCCCACAAGCATAGGCAATTAATTAGGGATGCTACCCTTGAAGTCAGAGCGCATCTGCCTGAGAGGCTATGAGTCTGCATACAGATAAGCCAGATCTGTAAAAAGGATATGCGTACAAAACTCCCAAGGTCCGCATGAAGACTAAAAATCTAGAAATGGACAAACAAGCAGAATTTTGCATCAGAGTTTACAGCTTGTGAATGTGAAGAAGAAGAAGATGAAAAAGAATCCCAAGTATTGTACTCATTCTGCCCCCAATGTTTGTACATTAAAGTATTTAATAAATGAGTTTTAATGAGTTAAAAATAAGTCACCATAGGGCAAAGGTAAACCATGATATGGCAGTGGCTGGTAGCTGGCAGCTGGCCTACTGGCTGGAAGGCCTTGCATCAGGAGGCATTTTATCATTTCCTCAGGCTTAGCCAACCTAAAATTGGTACCAGGAAGTATCCTTGAAAGTAAGTGCGTTAGGTGTGATGGTGTGATGCTGACTGCATCACGCAGCTAGTGCAGATTTGATCGATGCAAATACGGGTCTACCACCAGATGCCTGGCTTTAAAGGAGGATGCTGTACTGACCTTACTGAAGTGTGTAATAAAGGTTGAACAGGTAGCATGCATAGAGTGGGTTAATGCAGCAACTCTGTAGGATAAATTAGGGCAGGAATTGTATGTTTTCTTTTAGGGTGACCAAGAAGTGGATTGGTCATATTCTTAGAACACTGGAGACCTAGCTTTGAATCCTCAGTAAGGTTGTGTGTTTTTCCCTCAATGGCAACAATAAAATCCTAACCTGCACAGTTCATTGCGACAGCACTAGCCTTGCAGCCTTAAAACTCAGGCTCAAATCCTGCCCCAGCTTACACACAAAAGTGGTCAATACTGGCAGTAATTGACAGTTTTGGCTGCCCAAGAAGCATATGATGAGTTCTGAGGTAGCCAAGAGTAAATAAAGCCAGTCAGTGAGAAGGTGTGAAGGGTGATCCTGGCTGTGCCTCATCAGTTAACTCTAGATTGGGATTAGTTAGTCAAAATATTTTTCTTAACTGCACATTGAATGATTCAGTCCATGATTGCTCAGAACCCTCTTCTGAGTAAATGCCACGGTGTGTAATGGTTGATGACATCAGTTCTGTGTGGGTTTATTATGTTTTTATTTGGCATCCTGCACATTTTTCCTGATGGGAAGGAGGGGGGGAGGGGGGGGGGGGGAGTGTCACTTCTTTCAACTTTCTTTTCTTGCAGTCTGGTCATGGCTTTTTAAAAGAGGTAAATGCTGTCTGATAGTTGTCTGAATAGTAAAAAAGCACTGTCGGCTCTGTGGCTAAGTCGATGCAAACACTTCGTAATGCCGGGTTTGATCCCAGCTGCGGACCATGCACCTTGCGTTGGTTTGGACAGTGGTATCAGGGGGCCGACCGTCCAGAAAGCAATGGCAAACTACTGGACGTAAATTTGCCTAGAAATTGGTTCTGCAACGTTCTGTAAAGGATACGCAACAACCTATATGGGCACTTGGGGGAGGAAGGGGTAAAGAGTTGTAACGCTGTAACTCAGCAAACATGTCATTAGCCATGACTAATGACAGTTGATCTTAGGGTTGACTGCCTCATGCCGTAGAATCCTTTGGCTACTAAACGAACCATCTATAAAGTCTAAGTTAGACAACTTAATGTGGTACGGTTGAGGGCCTATGCTCTAATGGGAAGTAGTACAGTTTTAAGTTATGTGCAGTAAATGGTGCATAATATATATCTTCTGACCATTAAACAACCTTATTCCCTGTGCGGGTTCTGGGGCCCCATTGTTAGGGTAAAATAGAATATACACACTGACCCCCTCCCCAACATGTTATAAGAGTTGACTAAATAGGTGTGTTTTCTTTGAAGTCAGAATGCATCTTCCTGAGAGGTAAGGAACCAGCAGTCTACATACAAATAACTAGGTCTGTAAAATGGATATGCACACAAAACTTAGGTTCTGGAACAAGACCAGAGACCAGAAGTGGGCGAACAACCAGAGCTTTCCGCCGAAGAAGAAGAAACAACTTAATGTAAAACTATTAAGAAGTGATGACTGTTGGGTCTGTTTTAAATGACATGTTGATAACTGATGTGACTGTTGTAGCTGTTATCATGATCTTTTTTCAGGCACCGATGACATTCCAGTGTTGGTACCTGTCTTGTCCATTGATTCTGATGACAGTGCATTAGTTGATCTAAGTGAGAGGGATCCCCCTGTTTTAATAAGGCCAGAACTAGCTACAGCTGAAGTTCCAGCTGCAGTGACCTCATCAGCACCCACAGCCAAGCCGGGAAAGTTGCACTTCAAACTGACTCCAGACCCTAACAGTGGGAAAGCCAAAGTGTCCTTTCAGCTAAAGAAAAGTCTCAAAAGTACATTTCATGCAGCTGAAGATAATGGGGAGGAGGAGGAGGAGGAACGAGTGGTAGAGGAAGAGGTAAAAGATATAGTTGAAAAGACAGCAGCAGGGGAGTACATACCAACTCGTTTTAAGGTATCGAAGAAGCATGAGATTTACCGACCCAGCCTAGTGGAACCAGGTCTGAATATTGTCTTTCCTTCACATGTAATCTCCTCTGGAGGAGCATCCAGCAGTGCTGCAGTGCAGGCTGCAAAACCCAGCACTACTCCATTAGCAGATGCAAAGTTTTCACATGAAGTTTCTGAAGACACAGATGATGCTGCTGGGGTCAAAGACTCAAAACAGAATGAAGGCACACAATCAGGAAGGGAAACAAGATTTAACCGCAAGGAGGAAGATAATAAGGCAGCAGAGAAGGATCGAGGGTTAGTAGATTCTCCAAGAGAGTTGAGACGAAGTGAGCGAAGGGATAAAAAGAAAGAAGAAAGCAGCATAGAAAAAAATGAAAGCACCTCCAGATCTACTAGGCGCAGTAGTAGAGGGGGTGACCGGGATCTTGAAAGACATGGAAGTTTACGTTCATCTCACTCCAGGAGGGAACAGAGTGATAATAAATACAAAGAAGAGGATGATAAAAGCAGGAAAGGTGAATCACTTGAAACCAGTGAGAAGTGGAGATCTTCAAGATCGAAAAGACCCGATAGTGACACAAGAAAAGAAGGAAAGAGAGGCCCTGATCGAAGTCATGAGGATAATAAACACCACAATCATGAGAGATCACCGAGGCGTGACAGGAATGCTTCCCCAAGCATCACAGGGGGCAGGAGAACTAGGAGTTCTCATAGAAACAGAAGTCCCAGTAAGGAGAGGGATCATAAAACACATTCTTCCTCTGACTCTTTAAAACCTGTCAAAGATGCAGTAGGTCAGGAACTGACAGCAGACAGACTGATGGAAGAGTCACAGTTAGTTGGGGGTGGCTGTGACATAGTCACTGAGGTATCAAGTGCAATGAAACAAAGTGATATCCCATTAACAGACACTAGTTCAGAAGTTCTTGAAATTAAAACCACAGTCGAATTGGAGGAAAAACATCCGCATATACAGAAAATTGTTATTCGTAGATCCTTAGAATCAAATGACTTTGAAATTGCTAGGAACGATCTTAATGAAAACAGTAGTTTAGAGGACAGTCACACAAATCAGAAATCAGTCGTGTCCGAGGACAGTCAGACAAATCAGAAATCATTTGTGTCAGAGGACAGTCATCACACGGATCAGCAATCAGTTGCGTCAGAGGACAGTCACACAAATCAGAAATCCGTTGCGTCAGAAAAGAGTCACACACAACATAAATCAATCATGTCCGAGGACAGTCACACAGGCCAGAAATCAGTTGTGTCAGAGGACAGTTCCACAAATCAGAAACCAGCCATGCATGATGATTTGGCCACAAAACAGAAACCAGTCATGTCTGAGGGGAGTGCCACAAAACAGAAATCAGTTGTTTCTGAGAAAAAGCCTGCAGACAAAAAAGATTCCTTGCCGTCTGGCTCAAATGATGAGTTGCCAGATTCACCTGGGAAGGAAAAATATAGAATTGAAGAGAAAGTGACTAAATGTGAAGCAACAGATAGATCAAAACCTCAAGCTGAACAGAGAAATAGCAAAGAAGAAGAAAGACCCATCCCAGTTTCACCACAGGTTGAATTTTATCACACAGGGATGAATGATGAAGCATTGGCAGGCACAGAGCTGCATGACAAGGGGACGTGTAGCATTGAATCTGAAAATGCACATATGAAAAGCTCACAAATGAATAAGTTTCAAAGTTTTTCTGACCCTGGATCAGATAATGCCAGGTCAGAGGCATCAGTTTTTAAGAATTTAGACATTACTCAATCGCCGAAGCCAGCTCTTGAATCACCCATTTTGCCTAGAACTAGTTTGCCAGTTTCTGAGTCTGAACTTTTATCTAGAAGTACTGCAGGTGCTGATGAAATAAAGATGTTGCCTGATGCTAGTTCACAGATTGTAGAGTCCCAAAAGCAAGTTGAAAGCCAGGGAATATATGATACTGGTTCAGACATCTTGCAGGAAATAAGTGACCATGCTGCAGATTCAGAAAAGCTGTTGAAAAAGAGTCCATCTGTTAATGAGTTATCACAGTTGCCTGAACCAAGCTCACATGATGAGGAGTCACAGAAGTTGTCTAAGAAAAGTTTACGTGTTGAGGAGACAGAAAAGTTGCCAGAAAGAAGCAAGCATGCTGGGGAGTCAGAAACGTTGTCTGCAAGAAGTAAAAATGTTAAGTCCAAAAAATTACCTGCAAAAAGTAAATACATTGATGTTTCAGAAAAGTTGCCTGTAAGAAGTAAACATTTTGGTGAGTCAGAAAAGCTTCCTGCAGGAAGTAAACCTTTTGAAGA